ACTGGGACTTAAGCCTCGTCTACATAGAAGTCGTAAAGTCGTAGTCGTAAGAAGAGTCGACTATGATTGGTCAATTCTTATGTGTCTGACGAAATTGACCAATCACAGTCGATTATTCTTACGACTACGACTGCGACTCGCATTGTAGACCACGCATTAGGGTGCTTTCACATGGAGTGGGAGGGTGCTTTCACATGGAGCGTAAGTTGCGTAGCGTAACCTGCGTATCGCCAATCACAGGACTAGTTCAACGGAATTATTGAAACGGTTCTATCAGCATGATCCTGTGATTGGCGATACGCAGGTTCCGCTACGCAAGTTACGCTCCATGTGAATCCAGCCTTATAGTACGCTGTCTGTGGTCGAAGAGTGGATAACTGCATGAGTCTATGCTCTGTCTATATTCCGAGGATTCCGAGTCTATGTTCGCTTCCATCCTCCATCTTGCGTGCTCGAACGTTCATTCTACTAACCTCGTGGATCTCAGGGTGTTGCGCCACGCTACGCGCTGACTATACGACACATCCGTTGGCGCCTATTTCACGATCTTCACTGAAAAGCATCTTTAATCATTCCTGGAGTGGTAAGATAAAAGCGCCAAGTGTTTGCAAGTATTTTATAGCCGATTACAGATGTATTTGGCATAACTTAACCGTTCCGCGTGCTTTGGATAACCTCCAACGTGTAGCTACAATTATAAGTCCCACGTGGTGAGATAAAAATTTTGTAAACTGCTTTTAATTGTATTCTCAAGATTTGAATACGCTTATTGTTTATTTCTGTACGTTACTTTGAGCGGTACGACTCCATTTTCATTAATTTCGAGAAATATTTAACTCCTTTTCATAAATTTCGAGAAATATTGGTCCTTGAAGTTAGACAAAGAAAAATCGGGATTGTGCCATGTATGTACTGTCCTATCTAGGCTAGCCGTGGAAAGACAAGTTGGAAGTGTACAATTAATAAAATAACTAAAACGAGGAGTTCATTTTCAATCCAACTGGCAAATTTGATTGAATTCGTTACGACCTGACTTGCTAGTCTAACTTTTCCTGTTTTCTTATTTGTATTGTTATTTGAAAAGGACTTGAAGTAAGGTCGAAACGTTGTAACAAATTTAATAAAATTTGCCAGTTGACTTATCAATAAGCTCCCCATTAAAATTCTTTATTAAAATCACGTTTTTATATTTCACTCTTGGTATTGCAGAATATTCGTTTCACAATGAAGACTAAGATAGGAGATAAGAAAGGGAAGAAACGACCCCTTGGCGAAACTTTCATTTCTATAAAATCAGATCAGAGTCAAGGGAACGCCAATGCGCTCCAAAAGGGCCCCAAAAAACCTAAATTTGCTGGCATTAAACAAAATGGAAATCCCGTAATAGGAGCAAAAGAGCCGATCTCTAAAGTAGTGGACAAGCAGAAAAAGGAGCAGGTTAAAGTAATGAAAAAGCAAAGTGGCGTCCTCATACCATTGAAAACGAAGAAAGATACAAAAGAAAAGACAGAAGAAACTGTCGCTAAACCCGGAAAAGAGATTGGTAGTAGATCTAACAAGTCGAGAAAAAGGCGCCCTTACCTCCACGGTGAATTTACTGTGGAACAAATAACAGCAAAGATAGCAGAAATCAAGAGCAGAGAAGTGTTGTCGAAGAGAGCGAAAAGGATATTGAGTATACTTAATAGAAAATTGATGACATCTGGAAACAAATCGGAGAAATTAGATACAGTAGGAAAGAAAAGCGGCAAGAAAGCGGAAATTCCCGCAAATGCAGGGATAAGTAAGACAGTGGAACAGCGCATAAATGTAATAATGAACAAAAAACAGAGAGCTGAGAAAAAGGGTAAAGCAGCAGCAACAACAGCGCCTATTCTAAGCAGATTACAGGAGGAAGATGATAGCAGTGTCGAGGAAGATGACGATGACAGCGACGTCGAGGAGGATGACGACAGCAACGCTGAGATAGAAAATGACAGTATCATAGAAGCATGTGATCCGAGGACACTACCAACTGATGAAGAAACTGACGAGAGTGAGAGTGAAGATGAAGAAATGGAGGATGAAGATGAAGAGGTAGAGAGTGAAGATGATGAAGATGAAGAGCTGGAGAGTGAGGATGAAGAGGATGAAGAAATTGATGAGGAAGAAGATGAAGACGAAGAAGATGAAGACGAAACAACTGATGAAGATGAAGAGGATACAAAAACTAGAAATAACAAAACAGTTTCAGAAGTAAGAAAGGGAGAAGCGCAAAACAAACAAAAACAAGAGCAAAACAAGAATAAACAAGAACTAAATAAAAATAAGCAAGAGCAAAACAAGAATATACAAGAGCAAAACAAGAATAAAAAGGTCTCTGTTTCTTTGGATCAACTAAAAGCCGACTTGAAGAGGAAGCGATGTGTCCTGTTTGTGGGCAATTTGCCACAAGAGTAAGTCAATTTTTATAAATAATATTGAATAATAGTATTGATATGAATCTTACAATTAATTAGAGAAGATGCCATTTTTAGCCAGGTTCGTTCTTTGTCTAGTCTAATTATAGAGGCTTGTCACAAAAAGGTCCAAGTTGAAATCTTGGGGTAATATTTGTTGCAATAAATTTTTTAAATAAGATGTTTATTAGCATCAAAAGTTAATTTGATAATGAATTAAAGTATATAGATTTACTGTTTCAACAAAAAAAAAAACTATTTAAAGACTGTCAAATAATCGAAACGCAGTTTATGTACGGGGAAGAAAATACAAAATTTACATAGAAATATTATTAGTCTGTCAAGGACTAGTCGAGCCGAAAATAGCATCTCCTCTAATTGTGATTTTTTTATAATTTTTAATATTTCTACTTAGTTGTTTAGATAGACTATAATTTGAATATTTAATTTACAGTATAACCGAGAATGAGATTAAACAACATTTCTCGTCTAAGGTCTCGGCTAATGCAATAACTAACATCATACTTCCGACCAAGCCAGATAATACACCACGCGGCTTTGGGTATGTGGAATTCTCGAATAATGTCGATTTTGAGGTGAGCATCTTGTACTGTTTTTGCTGTGATACCTTTATTAAACTTTGCAATACTTACAGCTAATTTGCAATCTGACTTTTGTATTTTTACAGAAAGGACTCTCGTTACATCATACATTTTTAAAGAAAAAGAGGATAAATGTTGAATATTCAATACTAGGCGGTAAAAAAATTAATGTTACTAAAGAGTCTAGTGTTGCCCAAAATATGAAGCCGCAGGCGTTTCAGAAGGCTGGAAAATTTGCTGGCGGGCAACAAAAGAAGAAGCCGTTTAAAAAGAATAAATAAGATGATGAAACGAAAGTATAATCAAATAAAAAGGATTAATTGACAAAGGAATTGTTTACATAGCAACTTTAAGAAAAACAATTTTTTTAATGACAATGTCAAAGATTCTTTTAAAGTTATTTTACATGATCACGTTAAATGTTATCTTAGGTAAATACGTATGTCAATTAAAACCGATATATTTTGTTCTTTGAGCTCTTAGGGCTAGTTTTTCCAACCTCTTGGTAAGTTAACTAATAATTCAATTATACATATTTATCTTTGTGTGATCGGAAAAACAAAGACATACATATGTTTCAACTATTAGCTAATTTATTAAGAGGTTGGAACAACCGGCCCTTAATGTATTTCTGTAATTTGGACTCGATTGTATGTTAAAATACTATGAATCGTCGCAAAGGACATCCTAAAAAACATATTAATATCGCATGTTACATATTATATTACCGTGTATTGTAAAACAATAAATTTAAAAGATTATCAACACTTTAGTTTTGACTGATATAAGCTTTAAAATAGAAAATTAATTAACTTATGTTATTTGTATCGTAATACCTAAAATGAGCTTTGAACTGCTGATCAGTTAATGCTGCCACCGCTTGCAACTCCTCTATGAGAGCAAAATTCTCACGTACGCTTTCTATGTGAACGATTCAAGAATCGAGCACCCGATATCTTTCAAAAATTTCAGTAATACGTGCCTAGATCTCGATTCAGTCGCCCACGAGGTTATCCGCTATGTTGTGTCAGTGCTATTCATGCTGTTCACGAAGCTCGCTACCACTATCGCGCTATTTGTTTCACGAACGGTCTTTGGTAGCGTTTGCGTTGGTTGTGCGACAGCGAGCTCCCCCGAACCCACCCTTAGCGTGGACATATTTGACATTAGCACAAAAAAAGAATTCGTGAATGGAACGGAATCGTCACTTCTGAATTCGTACTATTCTGCAGTTTTGCGATCTCAGTCATTCATAATTCTGTACAAGGAGGAAACCTTTGGCGCAACTAGCAAAATGTAAATTCTTCTATGGACAACATGCACCCGGTAAAAAACGTGTCATGCATGAGCATGCATAAATATATAGTATTGTATAGTTATACATAAAAAAATATGTCCATACATATTTTTTACATTATATATTTCTCTGTAAATTTATACAATTCTATACAGTCCTATATAATTTTATAGATTTATACATGTTCATTATATGAAAAATTTTTGAAATGGAAAAGTTGCTTATTTATAATTATATATAACTTTGTAGAATTGTACACAATTATATATAATTATAAATAAGCAATTTTTCACTTTAAAAAGTTGTTTGTATAAAAGCATGTATAAATCTCTAAAATTATACAGAACTGTGTAGAATTGTATAAAATTATATAGAAATATACAATGTAAAAATATGTATGGACACATTTGATGTATATTTTTTATATAATTCTATGTATTTGTTTATGTTTATGCATGACAAATTTTTTACCGGGCAAATAGGAATATAATGCATGCGACGATTTATTCGAGAGTACTGTTATCTCACAAGATTGAACTGAACGTTGTTTATTAAGTACTTAATACGACAATGACAGACGGCAAGCTGGAGGCAAAAGATTCTCTCGATAATGAAAATATGTCGTCAACTAAACTTATCGAGGTATTGTCTTTAAACGTATTCTTAATGTCGACAGAGCAAACATGGGTCCCAAATGATGTGTAATAGTTCTCTGGATGTATATGTATATACATGCCCACACAACAAAAATGTCACAAAGATATCTGGGAGATATCTAAATATTACAATAACTGATACAAAAAACTATTCAGATATCGCTTGGATAAAAAATGATGATTATTTCATATGAGATATGATATCTGACTTTATATCAAATATTAGATATCTATATTTTAGTGAAATCAGATTTTACATATTACAGAATAGGTAAGGTGATAAATAAAATATATATTTTCTTTATCAGTTGCGGCATAAATTATTAAGGAACACTGCCTCCATAAATCAGCTCTTACTTTTTTTACACTATTATTGTAAACTTATATTTATCTGTTTTTCATTGTTTATGGTACGATTTCTTTTTTTACTAGATAAGTTTAGAAAACTTATTTTGAGGAAACGTTAAACGATAAAAAATTATTTAAAAACAAGACAAAAATATAAACAATTTTTTAAAAAGAGATCAGAAATGTAATATCTTTAAAATATTCAGGATATATCATCATCTACGAGATATCTAAAATATGACCGGTGAAATAATATCTGATTTAAGTCTCAGGTATATTTTGCTGTGTGGGTGTACATGCATTGTCTATATTTTATTATATCTCCCTCACTCATTGTGCTCGTATGTTACGTTTTCCTGACTTGTGAATGTTTACATACCACTTTTACGTAGAAAGAAGTCTCCGAACGTATCATATTTCCAGAGGAGTTAAATACATTCTTGCAGAACCAAATTCGTGTAAGTACAATATGTGGCTGGAAATACGTGGGATGGGATCGGAATCGAGCCACGAACCCTTGTATTACTAATTACTTGTGATAGCACTAACAACCACACGTCATCCCAATTTACCGCGAAAATGTTATGTTATTATATGAAAATAGCCCTTGTTCTTACGCATATATTGATGAATATATATTTTATTTATAAACGTATATTATACGTATATTTTTTATTATTACTTATATATTTTGTTTGAATCTATCACGCAATTATTTGTTGATTAATTCACTATCACGTGCAATTAATCATTGTTTAACAGGAATTAACGACGGAGAATGAACGTTTACGACGAGCATTTGAGCAAACGGAGGAGAAGTTGCGAAAATTGTCGCGAGGAAAACAGAATTTGCAAAATGCAACGACGGCCGAACCAGCCACAACGAAGCTAATCGAACTTAGCAAGAAATATAGGGATCGAACCGCCGAAGTGGAAGCACTGAAAACGAAATGCAAGAATTTGGAAGCCACTCTGGTCATCAAAGACGAAAATTTAGAACGCCAAAGAACGGAATTGCAACAAACTCTCAAATCTGAAACATGCAAGGACTCCGGCGATAGTTAGTTCGCATTTCCTTCCTAGTTTGCATACAATACGGATCTCGTATATGCCTGCCGTCGTTACCCATACAGCACGCATGTCTAAAAGACATCTTTAAGTCGTCTTTTAGACATACATATCTAAAAGACGACTTAAAGACGTCTTAAAGATGTCTTTTACACATGCGTGCTGTATGGGTTATAGCTTCGTTGTTTAAAAAATAAGAGTTATGTTCATTAAAGTTTTTAAAAAATAGAACTTAATTGCTTGTTTCCTTCTCATCATTGACAACTTAATTTTCTGCTCACTTTTAATTCTGTACTAATTTTACAATTGGAAACTTGCACCCATTATCCGATTATTGTATGTATATTATATTTCATGTCGAACTTGTAATGTCGAAGGCAACAGAAGTTGAGATATAATAGGAAACGGAGATTTAAATAGTAAAATCTTTATTAGGCAAAGTTGACGAGGAACGAATTAAATGCTTGAAGAACAAGTTGCAACGGGCCCAAGCGAAGCTTTGTGAATCCAGAAACACGTGTGCCGTTCTTAAGCAAGAGATTAATAAAGCACAGAAGGTATTCTACATATTTTTGCTGTTCTGTAAACTAGATTAATAACAAAAAGATGATTGTTTTTTTATAGAAGAATTTATTTTAATCACTATTGAACGGTAAAAGAAGATAAAAAGATAAGAGTAAAGAGGAGAGATATGAGAACAGATAATCTTTTTTACTATATTTAGAAATAATTGTGTAAAAAGGCGAGATGTGCTATCTTGTGCTATACTTGACCGAAAACTCTTTAAATTTCTCTACGTGTAATTACTAAGGATATAAGTATCAGTTATTGTGCAGCGAAGTGGGTGAAAATATCAACATCAGTGCGCTGTCGAGTATACCTGGCGGTTGGCGTGGACGAGCTGAACAAATCCGAAATCTGCAACAGAAATTGGCGGAGCTACAGATGAAATTGTTCGAAAACGAAAGATCTCAAAAAGAATCTTCCGGTAGAAGAAAAAATTATATTCATATTTCCACCAAATTGACTTGGTGATCAGAATTATTTATTTAATATCTCACTCAATATATGTGTGGATTTACTATTGAATAACGTTACCTATTGCTACAGAATTTAGTTAATGGAAATTTGTAACGTGATTGTAGTTATTTATGTGTTTTTTTCATAAATAAACTTTTTATTCCGTTTCCCTAGATCGGCAAAATTTGGTATGTCTCCGAAATATTGAAAAAGAAAGACGACAACAAATAGAAAATACAGCGAAAGAGCTGAGGCAAGCGGAAGTAGCGTTGGAGGCTTCAAAAAGAAAACTCGAAGCTTCCAAGGCGAGAATAAAAGTATTGGAACAAGAATTGAATATCGCGAAGGGAAACATTGTGATGTTAAATGAGAAAAAATCTCACGACAATCGTCTCATTGACACGCTTAACGTTAGTGTTGATTAAAGCATTAATTTGTTAAAGGATTAATTATAAAAAGATTTGTTTCTGATACATACCTTGGTGGAAATAATTTGCTGGAAATATAACAAAATTTTGTTGAAATATGTTAAAAAATTCTCTTAATCGGCTATGATATCGATACTTTAGCAATTTTTCAATTATAAGGTAACTTAGTTTTTAGTTAAAATCAGTAAAAATTTCGTCTTATTTAATATTTCACAATTAAAAAAAATTTTTAATACTTTTCAACAGTATACTTTTAACTTTCCATATTTCATACTATAACATTGAATTTGAGGAAAATTATGATTCCTTTTGAGGTACATTTAGTAATTTTTCAACAATGTTTACATCACTTTTCATTAATTTCATAGGAAACTTTCAGCAAAATGTTTTCAGAATAATATTATTATGAACTCTCTGCTTTAATGTATTCAAAATAATACGGCGTTAGGCACGATTGAAGATTTCCGAAGCGAGGTATCAAGATCAAGAAATGGAAGTGCAAAGTAGGGAATACAAAATCGAACGAGAGAACGCTAATATCAAGAATGAGTTGCGAGCAGCGCAGTTGCATGTGGAACGATTACGCAGGAGATTGGAGGAACGCGAGATCGAGATTGACAAATTGAGGTTTATATGAACAAATCACTCATATGATATGACTTAGGCATTATGTATGTACTATGTAATCATTGCAAGGTGAAATAAAACTGATAAAAAATAGTAAAAAAATTATGAAATATTTTAGATGAGATATGAAATTTACCGAATTTGACTAAAAACTTGTTACTTTTTAATGAAAATTCTTTGAAATAACTTTAATAAATTTTTACTGAAATACTGATGGAATGATAATGAAGTAGGGTCAATTGAGAGAGAAACCGTTTCAGCAAAATTTCAGTATATTTTTAGTAAAATATTTCCACCAAAAAAATGCATTTGTTACTTAATTTTAGAAACGGTATGCTGTCGGATGAATCTTTGAAGTACCGAAACTCGCTTCATCCAGATTTTCGATCAACTGAAGAGCGGCAGATCAGTCCAGGTGCTAGTCCTCGAAGCTTAGGCGAACCGAATGAATATGTAACCTTGGCTCTAGCTGCTGAAGCCGAACGCGTGAGACTGTTAGAATTAGTAACATTACTTAATCAACGAGTGGACAAGGAAAGGAACGAAGCTGATGCACTTACAGTAAGATACAATTTTTTAATAGTGAATTTAATTGATAATTGATAATTTGATAAAGGGACATTTCGATTTTGTGGCTTGATTTGTTAAACATTAATCTAGCTCTCTCTAATTAATATATTAATAGATAAATTATAGATCTAATAAGATTTAATAAATCAATGAAAATTAATTTACTGATTTAAGTAAAGAAAGATTCGTAATTAAATAATAATTGTCACTTAAGGATGTATTGGACGTACAATCTTAGACAAAAGTGCATGAAATTGGAAATACTTAAATATCTACTCTTAACGCATAGTAAATCTAGATGTAAGAAACTTGAACGATTGGAGTCTTATTTGTACTCCTACAAAGGTATTTTTCACTTTACAAATGTTTTTTCCTGAATTATTTGCGATTTTTTTCACTTATGAGCCTAAACTTTTGATAGTGAAAATACTCTGATTTAAATTCTTAATAACGTCAAATATTTTCAAAACTAAAAAATTCGTGCCGACAGCACGAATATCTCAAGTTATATTTGATTATATTTTATTTCTTTAAAACGGTGCAGTATAGACTATTGAAACTTGGTAGATATTTTCATCTATTCGTATACTAGATGTGTAAAAAAATTCAAAACACTGGTACTATTTCTTCTACATTTTTTAAGCTGTTTTATCCGTGAAGATCGGCTTTTCCCATAAGAGTACGTGTAAAATCAGTGTAAATTAAAATATTTATATCTCAGCAACCGTTTAGTGGATGCATTTTTACTTTTCTGCAATAAATTAGGAAGACTAAAAGAACAATTTCACAAATTTTTAGCGACTTTGTACTATTTTGAAGTTAGGTCGATACGTCCTTAATGGTAACAATGTTAAATTGGTACAAAGAATTATTTGGAATTAAATAAGAGAATTTTATACATCTTTAGCTCACAATCAATTGTATATTTAAATATTAATTTGAAAGGAATTGCTGCGTAAGGAAAAGAATAAGTGTACGAAATTAGAATTAAAATTGCGAGATTCGGAAAAAGAGAGAGTGGGGCTTGCTAAAGTGGATACAGGATACAGAGCAAGATTTTGCGCAAAATCGATGTCGAATATACGAACGGAGGAAGAAATCACTAACCCCGATGAAATTCGTTATAAGTAAGTTATATATCATAAGTAAAATCTGTTTCTTCCCCAGCAAACTGCTTGTAATATTACAACAGATATGCTCAGATATTGTGACAGATTCGGTATTACAATTTGTGTCTGCATTAAACTCGTATTTGGCCGACAAAGCTCACCGATACAATGTGACAACGGGTTATCGGCATATTCAAGTTCTTCAGTCAATCTGCTATTATATTCTGCTAACAGATTCTGTTGTAATATATTTCTCTCTTTGCTGGCATTCTATCGACAAAATTTGTAACAACCCTGGTGGAGATATTTCATTGACAGTATAATGAAATTTTGCTGAAACGGTTTGAAATGGTTTTTCTCTCAACCGATTCTGCTTCATTATCATTTTATCAATATTTCAATAAAAATTTAGTGAAAAATCATTTTGAAAATTTTTCATTGAAACGTAGCACAGTTTTTAATAAAATAATTCAGTAAATTTCATAACATCTAATATTTCATAATTTTTTTTTCAACAGTGTACTTTAACTCTCCTTATATTTCACAGTATTACATTAAATTTTACAAAAAAAATTACAATTCATTTTGAGATACATTCAGTAATTTTTCAATAACTTTCATATTACTCTTCAACGATTTTATATAATACTTTCAGCAAAATATCTCTATCAGGGAGTTGCTTTTAAAATCTGTTCTTCACAGGTTTGAATCCGAATTCCTTCTTTAGCGCATATAGAGTATGTATATCTTCTTCTGCCCTATCAATATTTTTACATTTGATATAGAATCGAATTACTAGAAGAGGAGTGTCTCGCATTGAAGGCCAGATTAGATACCGTGCAGCAGGATAAAGCATCAGATCTTGCAATGTACAAGCGAATGCTCGATCAAGCTAGGAAGACTTTCAAAGACGCGTGCAGGTGAGAATCTGGACCGTGTCCAAACTTATACTCGCATATGCATAAGCGAAATCTAAATAGCATTCGGTGACGATGCATACATGTGTACTTTTACAAAGGACAATTGGCTAATCTCACTGCCACTTTCCAATACGACCTTCTAGGAATTCTCTCTCGTGTAAGAAGTACAGACGACCGACCGTCTATTTTTAGATTTTTCAGTGCCTCCGCTTCTTTAGTACTTTTAGTATACAAACCGTGTAAAAGATATGTATCTATGTGACTATTTTTGCTTCTCATTAATTGCTGACACTTACCTTTTCAAAATTTATTTATAATCATTTCATTTATTTATTTATAAGCTCGTATGCTTATTTCATAATAATTACAATATATTGCTTAGCTTAAATAATATATCGTCATTCATCAATTTACTGAATTATATTTTCTATATTATTGGTCCAAGTAATACAAGAATAATGTGAGTTTTAACTTTGAGGCAATCGTTTTCTAATTCTTCCGCACCATAATCAAACTTTTTCAGAAACAAACTAGCTGCCGGTGGAAGTCGCTCCACGATAACTGTTTAAACGTGAAGGTACCGCATGAAGAAACTAAGGAGCGTACGATCAATCTGAGACAAACTAGTCCGAGGAAATCTGAGAGTTTGTGGGGGAAATGGTTCTACGTTATAAATAAAATAGAACATTCTTATATGAAACAGACGGAACACTCGTTTGCGATAGGAATAGATGTAGCAGCAACAAAGCCGCGGCATGGTGATGTAACTGGGACACGAGATAAGGTGCAACGCCTCCACGTAAACCCGCGTGACACCGTCGGAGTAAAACTCACAGTTTCGTCTCCACCTCGTTCCTCACCATTCCCCTAACTCCGATGTTTGCCTCAGCCGACTCGTTTACTTCTGCCATTGATATCGCACGCGGCGGCACCGCGGCCGTAAATTCATCCCGCTTTTCGTTACCCAAGAGCAGAAGCGACACGACTCTCAACCTCGTGCTCTAGACTAGAAATCCGAAAGATTGCGTTCCTCTCTCGAGGAACACCCAACTGGTATCTATACATCGTGATGTCATATAAATGGTTAAAAAAAATATATAAAAATTCAACATTAACAACTTTCGTAAGTCGCTTTATTGTATGAAGCATAATTTTGTACATCGATATAAAATTATGTGATTAGAAAAAAAGGAATAAATAAAATTTTACGTCCAAGCGATCGTTTATGACCGAACAGGAATGATCTGGGATGCGCGCGACTGTACATCAATTTTATATTTCAGTTTTATGAATCGCCAAATACGCAATTAATGTATTATAAATTTTTATGGTACTGTTTGGAAAACCAATCATTAACTTGCACTGAAGCTTCTCGTGTTCTATTAAATATTGTATAGTTAATATAATTTAACATAGTTAACATAATTAAACATTTTTGCCGTACCAGGAAATCCATTTTGCATAACGTCTCGTCAATGCGAGGTGTATTCTACTACTTCGACAAACGTCAAGTTCTATCTCGGTTTTTTTTATTCTCGTTTCTAATTCTTGTTTCTCAAGTAAGATAAGCAATGGCCGAGAGTGCGAGAACTTAATTCTCGGATTGACGAGTTCACCAAGTGTAGCTAGATAAGTGATTCGGTACGCAGTACTCGATACTCTGTACTCGAATCTCGGTCAGTACTCGTTACCTCAGACTCGAGTCCATAACTAATGGGATTAAGTATCTTGCAAGTAATTTCGAATCGGTTGGCGTAGTTTTAACTCTCTATGATTACTTCGAAAAATAAAAGCAGTACTTTCAAGTATATTCGAACCTGGACGAAATGGGCCTGAATTCTCTATAAGTACCACGACAAATAAAAGTGTGGGACTTCTAAAGTAGACTAGAATCTGGACTAAATATATTGGAATCTTTTATGAGCACTTTACTAAAAGTATTATTTTCTTCGAATCGAAACGTTTATGGGAAGAAAATTATTTAAGAAGAAAACGAGAGATGAAATTATATAAATCAAAAATCTAATTTATTATTTTGGTTTGAATATTTAATGTGTATAATATTAAAGTGATTAATGTATTATTAACAACTTCGTTCTTAGGGTTCGAGTACTACTTGTAAAAGATTCGATTCAAGAAAAAGCGCTAAATCTTGTAAGTACTCATTCTCGAATTTGAAACTAGTCAGGATCCGATTACTTTGCAAGTACAAGGTATTGAATATTACTTCTTACAAGCGTTCCTCAAATTTAAATACAGATTCAACTTGATCCATCTCCATCCGTGATGATCGGTCTACCAGTCAATCGAATTTTGAGACTCGTGTTTAATGAGTATTTCGCTCGTCGCATGGTCTGAGCCAGTTGCACTTGGGCGAGCTGCGGGTAGCGCTCCACGAAAACTTCCGTCATCATCATCGTCGTCGTCGTCATCGTCGCCGTCGTCGTCGCCGGACAAGCTGGGCGTGTTTCCGACGGCGCTTAAGCTCACTGCCGACAGGTGTGGGCTTTACAGGTGTTGGGCCTCCTAGCTGATAAGAAACGCGCCCGTGACGTCAGATTGGCGCGGGTAGAGTATATGAGTCGACGCCGTGGGACGTCCACGTCACTCGTTCTTGAACCTTCTTCGTCCGTTCATTCCGTCAAGTCGTTTACCGCGATTTTTTCGCTGTATCGCCGGTCACGATCGGCGCCCTGGTATCGCGCCGATCGTCGTCGTCAAGTCACCCGGTGATTCGCCGGAAGCGGGGGGATCTGCCGTAACGCGGAGATTGATTCCGCGGCTCGATCGGATTTCCTCAGGTAAGCCAGATGGGTCGCTTCGACGACCCGTCGTCGAGATCGATCTGGGGGATCGGGTATCGAAGCGAATACCACCAAGCGATGACGCGGGAATCAATTACCGAAGAGAATGGACAAACAATCGCAAATATCGAGACGTTCTAATCTTTCGGACATTGTTGCAACGTTATTTTACGCGTTTCTTTTTAAATTTTCGCGTTGTTTCAAAAGCGCGAGAATTACGGGATCGAGATATATTTGTCTATTGATATATGATAAGATCGGTCGCGCCTTCCGCTTCTTCATGAAATATCTCGAATTCACGCTCGTCCTTCTTGAAAATAAATTTTCTCGCTCGGTCGTTTGTCTTTTCATGTGCAAATTTGTAAGAACAATCGCGCGCTCGGGGCAAGACGAACCGTACGCTCCACTTTCGTTACGTAACGTATAGTCGCAAGACCGTAGCTACTCATCAACCTATGGAAATGATAATTTCGGGCTCTACGTGCCAATCTTAACGTTATACCGAGGTATTTTTTTCGCCAAGACCGCAAGTGGCTAATTGCTAGTCTAATATTCAGGTGATAAAGCAAAAAGAGAATTATCGCATTTTACTGACATAATTAGACATTTGGGTTGGAAAATTGAAAGGATTAAAGTTAATAGGTGTTGCTATTATTTTCCTTTCGTGAGTTAACAGCAAGTACAATTTTTAAGCCAAAGTAACTTTACGTAGCAAACGGGGATAATTATTCAATTTTTTCATGTTGTCTTCATTTTTTTTCTAACTATGAAATAATATATAAAGCGAAAGTCTTTATTGCTACGATTGCTGATGGTGCAGTAATAGCGCTTATAGCGAACAATTATATCGAATTATGTCGATTCTCACCGACAAATGGTTAGCTTGATTATCGATGCAAAATCGTGAGTCAAATTCTGATTTGTAAATGCGTATTCAACAACCGTATATTTGCGTCTTACCTCGAGCTTGACTAAATATAAATGAACTATTCAAATGATGTTGGACATCATTTACGTCCGACACAAAAATGATATAAGAATTATATGCACTATGCATACGATAAGCACTTGCAACAATAGTACTTGACGTTACATATGTGCTATATACTTTCCATAAAGCAAATAATACAGGAAATAATTTCCTAATATTGAAATTGTTATATACGTAAAAAAATTGATTAGGTGTTTTGTAGTTACAAAGCTGCGCTTCATCGTTTTTAACTTTTATGCGGTTGTAATATACTTACGTCGGTTATGTGAAAATTAACTAATATGCTAGTAAAGTAAAGCAACAGAATATTTGCCTTTTAGCGTTCAAATATATTTAAAAAAGGAAAAATACCTCTTTGTTGCATTGCAGCTGCCATGATTAACGTTCAACGATTAATTAATATTCGACGAAAGTGATATCGAAACAATTGATAATAAATATTTAAAATAACAAGTAAGTAAATGTGGTCTGCTATTAAGATATCAATGTTATTAGATTTGTCGATTAAAAAATAATTTAAACATAAATCTGTTGAAATTTGGGCTTATTTAATGCAATATATATTTTGCGACAATTGTAACATTCGTGTTTTACTCACATAAAAAGATCATCATACCCTATAAATCCGTTAGATCATACGTGGAAAAGGAATTATCTTCTAACTTTTCAAATATAAGATAATTAAAAATAAGATAACGATAATTTTCTTTATTATTTGGCTGAAATATTTTGAATACGCTTATCACATACATATACGTATAATTTATTCGTTTCCATTTCTGATATTTATAGTTAAAATCTCTCTTTTACAATAATAATTTGTTTTATAAATTAAATAAATACAATTTGGAATAAAGAAATCGGAATTAATAATATAACTATATCTTTGAAATTAATTTATGTCTATGTTTATAATTTTTGTATTTATGTTTCACAATTATTACAAATTTTGATAAAAACGAGAAATGAAAAAAAATGAGAAGTGCGCCTTAAAAATTATGGAGTATATAAAGTCCTGAGTGTTTCTATACAATGTTGCATTCAATTGTTGCAATATTAAATATATAAATTACATGCAACACAATGAAACTACTTAGCATTAAGTGAATAGATAAAAGTATACAAAGTACCCCAGAAAGCTCAGACTTCCACTGACAGACTCTGTAGAACATTCTAAGACAGAAATAGTTATGCAAAAGCTATAATAGTTTTTAAATAGGAAGTACTTATATCCAGTAAACACCAACTAACAATTTCATAACATCAATATCATAATTTCTCATTTAACAATATAAATGTAACACATGTAAATAGCAGTTACATTGTTGAGTAGTAAATTATAACATTGTTATGTAAGTGTTAGTTGGTGTTTACTGGGTAGTTGACTAATCAGTTTGCGGAAATTTCGCGCGCTCAGACATGGTACATCGTGAAGGTGTCGCTTCTCGAAATAATTTCTTTATCATAAACAGAGTCTATAAATTTTAACTCCTTAAAAAAATAATAGATATCGAAGACATATGATAACAAAGTCGATTTTAGTTCTCTCGATACAATAACTCCGTATGATAACCAAATAAATAATAAAATAAAACACAACAATAGTGTGCAATTGCGAACAACAAAAATTAATTTTTTTTAGAGAAAGAATTAATAGAAAATATACAACAGGTTTGCATTATTTCTATTTTTTTAAAGCAAAATTTTGCTTTAAAATGAAATTATAAAATGAAGATGCCTTCTTCTAACAAGCTTTAAGAATCGTTTAGATAATTTAAACAAATTATTTATAGTATTATTAATTATTTTATTTTGGTATTAATGTATTTTTATAATTTCATAAAATTACTTTGTTGTGTATTTTATCGATATCGTGGGTAACACAAAGTATGACTTCATAATGAAATATTTTCCTAATTTTCCTATTTAAATATGAAATATAATAGATATTAAACTATTATCGAACTATTAGAAATAAATATTTCTTTTCAAAATTAAAATTTATTTAAATATATAATTTATAACTTTTAATGTACAATAAATAATATTTCACATATTACGTCTGAGCTCAAGATTTTCAATTTTACGGATATAGTTAAGTATCTGTTGGCATTTATTTTAATTTAATTAACGGACTAATTATGTATCATGTGTTTATTCTTGTTCTACCAATCGTGATGCAAATGTGCTTAAGTAGGAGAAGCGGAGCATTATCGAGTTGTTTTGCTCTCTGCTTTATTTCTTTTATCTCATATCCGGACGATTTTACGGCAGTCTTTGCAAGTCTTCTTAAAAATAATTCGTCAGTGAAGATAAGATTTCGTCGTGAACGTTCGCATAAACTCGATTAGTTGCATAGAGTATTACATCACCGACCGAAAATTTCAGCAGCGATCGTATCGTAGTACGAAATATCGTTTCGATAATATCACAGAGATAGTAATACGTAGATCAATTTTTTAAATTATCACATGTGTTGATTCGACTGCGGTTGTTTGTTAAATTAACGTTTAACGATCGCGTATCATGCGACTTTGCTATTTTCCCAGAGAAAGGAAGCGATTTTGTGCTCCGCAACTGGAGGACTTTGTCTGTCGCAGTCAATCAGAGGGGAAA